GAGCAATCACGGCCGCTGCCACGCCGGAGGAAGTTGGAGCTCGCTTCTTCCGGGCCAAGGTCCGCCGGAGTGGACAATTGCTAGTGGTATGGCTCGCCGCTGGGTCGATGCTAGAGGGGCTGTGGTTTGCCGCTGGATCCCGCCGGAGGTGAAGCACGCTTGAGGGCTCGCCGATCTGGGAGGATGCTCACCGACCCTGGTGGAGGGTACTGCCGGCGTCCCTGTCGCTTGCTCGCTGCTCGCCGGAAAAATCCCCGCGGTCCGCGGCTCGCCGGCAGTCCAGACTCTAGCTCGCTGCCGCTGCCTATAGCTCGCCGAAGGAAGGAGGAGGCTCGTTGGACCTGGTTGTGGACCGACGGAAGGAGTGGCTCGTCGGTGGAAGACTGACGGAAGGAGGGGCTCGCCGGAGAGGACCGGGAGTGGCTCGCTAGAGTGTTGGATCGGCTCGCCTCAAGGAAGGGAGGCTCGCCAGTGGCTCGCCGGTGCTCGTGCTCGCCAAAGGCCTGTCAGTGCTTGTCGCCGGATCTGTGAAGAAGACCACTCCTCCCTTTCCTATTCTTTTCTCCTTCTCTGACTTTTCAATTTTTTTTTCTTCTTCTTGATTCTCACTTCGTATCCCTCCTCCTTTTTTTTGTTTTTCTTTTACTTTCTCAATCCACTTTTTTCCTCTATTACGGACTCCGAGCACAAAAGCTTTTGTGACGGGTTCCACGGATGGCGCCAGTGATGGAAACCGCTTTTTCGGGGCGTCGACCCGATGAAATCGGTACCGGGTCGGCACCGCACCGAATAGCGAAATTCGGAAATTAAGTAAATAAATAAAGCGGAGAGAAAATATTTATACGTGGAAACCAGAATCGGAAGAAAACCACGGGCCTTTTTTGGCGGTGCCATGCCAAAGGGGGAGAAACTTTTATTAATTTCAGGGGAGTTTTCATATATATCATTGTAGGAACTTGGAATCATTAATGGAGCTCCAAGCTAAAAGAAGAAGAAAAATGAAGAATATAGTAGTAGGAACTTGTAGGAATCTAGCCTTGGTCTCCCCCCTTCCGTCCCGCGTAGCCTTGTATTTAAAGGGGAGTACATGCATGCATCCCCAACAATGCCATGAGGTGGTCATGTCACCTCCATGTGCACATGTTTTCTATATGGGCTCCACGGAATATTTTTATATCACCTCAAATATATATTCTTCTGCCCATATACCTCTAGTTCTGTCTTGAATAATTTATCTGATTTATATCTTGGGTCAGATGAAATTGGGCTTTCTTGCACTGTTCAAATAATATTGGATTAGGAAAAATCCCTAACCCATCACTTATGGAACTTAATTTATCTTTCATATGTTCAAAATTAAACGGTATGTTTATTATGCGCATGATCAAGATTCATTCTCTTTTTTATTTTTATTTTTATGAGTTATTTGGTAAAATAATATAGTCATATCATTACTAGTTTTGTATATCTTTTGATATAGTTTTTAAATACTCGCTCCATCCCAAATTAGATGTCACTATCATTATTACAGCTTCTCGATAACTTTCGTCTATTTTTATATTTTCATCGATAATAAATACCCTTGTCACCTCATATTTTATAAAGTCTTTTATGTACTTTTAAACGGTGTAATTTATATTTTTCATTTCTATACTAATATATTATAATTAAAATAATTTTAAAAATGATAAAATTTTATTTGGAATGTGGCATCCAATTCGGGACGGAGGGAGTTTGTAAATTTTATTTTTAAATTTTACACCATCTTTCATTTAACATATTTTAAAAATAATTGCAACCAAACATCGTAACCCGAAACAGACGATTTATACTAAATGGTAACAAAACGATGTTTCAAATGTGCGCAAATATTGTTAAATTCATTCACACAAAAATGAAACTCAAAAAAAATGCAGTACACACATAATAAAATTTGAACCAGGTTTTAAGAACAATTTTATTATTTAACAAAATAGTATGAGAAACTAACCCGTAATATTATATCCAAATGTTCGGCTCGGTATTTTTTGGAGTAACTTTGAGTGTATCTGATGACATCAACTCAAATGGACTTGCACTGTCCATTTGCAAAATTGATATGCCCTTTGTCCCAAATTAAATCACATGTTTCAGTTTACAAGGTTAGGTTTGACTGAAAATATTTTTAAATAAATTTATTTAAAATTAGAATGAAATTAAAAACATAAAAATTACATATTTAAAATTATGTCAAAAGCTCTACAAAACAAGATGATGACATTACTATATTACTTTATCAAATTAATAACAAAAATAAATACTTCGTAAAAAACAATATTTGACCATAGGTAAAAATTATCAATTTTGCGAGCAAAATACTGTAGCTGCTCCAAAAACGTTGTGGCGTTGTAGTGTTAACCAGGGCGGGGTAAACGAAACCAACCTCAAAGACGAAAAGGAGCAGTTGACACTTCCCTTATGGTGACACCGGTGGACACTTCTCATTTGGGGTGCCTACAGTGATCCGTTCACTGTTTGGCAACCAGAAACATTATGGGGGGCAAGGTTTAGGGAGGTAGGANAGATGATGACATTACTATATTACTTTATCAAATTAATAACAAAAATAAATACTTCGTAAAAAACAATATTTGACCATAGGTAAAAATTATCAATTTTGCGAGCAAAATACTGTAGCTGCTCCAAAAACGTTGTGGCGTTGTAGTGTTAACCAGGGCGGGGTAAACGAAACCAACCTCAAAGACGAAAAGGAGCAGTTGACACTTCCCTTATGGTGACACCGGTGGACACTTCTCATTTGGGGTGCCTACAGTGATCCGTTCACTGTTTGGCAACCAGAAACATTATGGGGGGCAAGGTTTAGGGAGGTAGGAGATATGAACCATTAATTTTTTTGAAAGAAACACCATGGGTGTCCCAAATAAGCAGTGTCAACCGGTGTCGTGTCAACATAACTGTGTCAATAATGTTAACTCCTTCATAGCAAGTGCATACATATCTAACGGGGGGGGGTGGGTGTTAGAAGCTAAGGTATACTGTTCTGTCCTTTGGAACATACTGCCTATTAATATTGTCATCTCCATATTGGAATGGAGAACCAAGTCTAAACAACATACCGATAGGTAGCGTAGTCGCCAGCCGTTTCACTTTTCCGGGTGATCTTCACAACTTGGCCGCGCCTCAGCCCATAATATTTGGCAACAGGATCCGTCACAAAAATCCGTGGAAGCTGCTTCACAAGGGGCAAAGAATATTAGAAGAATTTACAATATCAGAGTGTTGATAAGTATTGCACATTGTTCGATATCTGTTAGGTTCTAATTCAGCGATCATTCCCCCCACCCTTTTACCAAAGTCAAACTGAAAACCGAAAAAAAACTAACTGAACCTGAAATGCTCACTCCTCATAAAATGTGATCCAGCATTACTGCATTAAAATATTCTCTAAGCAAAATATTCACATATATGAAAAGGGAAAAACCTGTGATTCTGACACCGTGTATTTTGCCAGCAATTGCTTCTTTTCCGCAGTTGTAAGCAGCTGGTGCGGAGGAACAAGGTCATGCTCCTTTATGTTGAACAACAGTTCAGCCTCCTGCAACATTGCAGGTTGCAGCAGTTAAAGATAAGTAAATCTGCAAGTTCTTCCATCTGTATTTACTATTGAATATGTCCAAGGCTCCAAGCAGATATTGAATATTGAAGATTTGAGGTCAACTCAAGGATAACATGAATATTACTAAAATTTGTCTCGTAAAAAAAAGTCATGTAATCATGTTTGAACAATGTAAAATGTTTTAGTTTTGGTGAGGTACCAGTGCCAGTCCTTAGCAAGTGTAAGACGTGCACTTGTAAAGTGCCTAAAAAAATAACTAATCACATTAAGGATTAAAAATATTAGTCCAAACATAGTAATACCTTGAATATGACACATAGAGGTTTACGCTTGCTCAGGACCAGCACTGGTTCCTCACCAAAATTAAAACACTTAACATAGAGGTTTACACTTGCTCAGGACTGGCACTGGTACCTCACCAAAATTAAGAAACTTTACATTGTTCAAACATGAGTACATGACTCTTTTATATGAATTACAGATGAGTTAATATTATACTTGAATTACAGTGTTTAACTGTTTATAAAACTTTCAACTGTATTAGATGATATGTTTTGTTGATTTTTTTTACGGAGTAATAATTTTGCAAATGCTATGAACTTTTCTATCCTCTGTATAATTTGAGATGTTCATTTTTTTCTTCAAATTGTCACATTACATCTAGTGAAGTCCTGTGAGGCATGAGCTATATCTAGTGTATTAACCTCCTATCATCACAGGATCTAACAGATACTTAGGGTTTAAAATCAATCCCTGTTTGGCATGGTAATCAGCCAGGGCGTTATCATATCCTGGTGAAACTATCTCTTTGGCAAGATGTGAAATGTATTCTATAGGGATATTATAGTCTTACACGGATGCTACATGTTCTAGTGTTCTTGATGAAAATAGATTCCAAATCGGCCATATATTTTGCATTATAGGTTGTAATGTACTAATGTTTGTAGGGGTGCAACTTTACACCATCTAGTATCTTTATCTATCACACGAGAAGATTATAGGGATTATAATAAGGGTATGATTGTATGAATGGTGTTTATTTGGTAAGCCCAGTAATCTAAAATTCTAAAAAAAACATATTTATGCCAAGAATGAGAGAGCATCATTTACCAAAAAGACCTCTATGAGGCACAACGAAGATATTTCATTAATGCAATCACGAGCTTGGGAAGCCAGTTTCTTTTGGAGAATCAAGATTGCCCTCTTAAAGCTCTCCGTCCTCATGCGAGCAATATAGCTTCTTATATTTTGAACGCCAATCTTGTTATTATTGGGATAGAAAACAATTATCTGGATCAAGAAAAGCAATTCCAATGAGCAAGAAAGGTACATGGATACCTATTTAGTACATTCTATCATTATATTTTTTTAAATGAACTAGCAAGCCAGTCAAAAGGGCCTAAATTCTCCAAGTTTTATGACAATCATCAAGCAGTTTTCACACAACCAGAAAATGTAGGTAACACCGATAAAGAAACTAACTTTGAAACACAAAAAATAGAAATTAAAGAAAAAACAAAATCTCAGACACATGTTCACCCTTTTTACCATCTGTCTAGAACTCCTAAATTGTAGAGCTGACTGAAATAAATACTCCGTAGCATTAACGACTTATGTCCATTAGAATATGGTACCTTATCAGAGCTGTTGTTTTGCATTGCCTTTTGCACTTCAAGGTCCTCTCTCTTCACATGCTCACCATACTTAGCAATAAAATTTGCTCTAGTCAGCTGAATCTCAGAATCTTCAACCTCATAGCCCCTATCTCGCAACATTTTCAATGAATTCTTGTGAACTGTATATAGCCTCGTCGTCTCTTCTTCCGAAAAAAACATGTTTGTGCTGCTTCTTAACCTATGTATAACAGTACTAATATGTTTGGACACCAAAATTAGTTTCTTCCCCAATAAAATACGCAAGAAACACTAGTTCGTCTTACACAGGGCAAATTGATAGGATAATAATAACAATAACAACAACAATGATGAGGACATACAGAGTTATAAATATACAAAAAAAATTAGAAAAAAGGGTCCAGTCAAATTCTCCATAATGTAACTCCATTATGCAGTAAAAATGTACTAGTAATTTTTTAAATTACAAAATGGTAGGAAGACATGTTCAATGACTCAGAAACCAATGAAAGGGGATAGCCGGCAAAGAATGAACTATATGTAGTGGCCAACATCCCCATTGCCAATTTCAACTGTTCAGTTAATTACATTGTCGTAAAAGTGCAACATATTCGAAAACATATAACTACATCGAAATCAAACTGTAAATAGTAATATGTTAGTTTGTATTTTACACTGGAGAAATTTCTATTGGTGTTAGGATATGTACATTTTTAGGGTACTCCTTTAAAGAGTACAAATCAATATAAAACTTATTCATTTAAACAAATGATAATTATATAATTGAACAGAGGTGTTAACAGTAGGGTTATTGATGCAGAGATCACTGCTGCATATTTTCAGAACATATTGCCCCGAAATTGAAATTCAAAAAATTAAACATAAACATGGTAGACATGAACATGGTAAACAAAACCATCCAATAATTGCGGAGAGTAGATCCCCTCTTCAATCCCGAGAATTAACTTCGAGTTATATCCAAGTAACATCTAATAATTACAGTAAAATCTAGGAATTTACCTAGAAATCTTCAACACTCGGGATTGAAGACTCCGGTCGTAGCTTTTGGAACGACGATCGGAAGCTGAAGACTCCGGTTGTAGCTTTGGAACGCAGGTCGAAGATTGAAGGCTTTAATTTGAAACAGGCCTGCAACTGATCTGGGCCGAGACGATTAAGTTTTTGTCCAGAGTCCGGACATATTTGGAAAAGCCAAGTCCGCGCGAGACCGAATTGAACTTTGAGCCCGGTCTGGTCTTACACAGTTACACCAATAGACCCTATAATTCTAACTAATCCTTGATTTTAGGAAAAAATTATAAGAAAACCCCCTAAATAGGAGCAAAACATATGATACATCCTCAAAATAAGACTTCAAACATAAAGGGAGAAGGAACAAATTAGGAGTAAAACATATACCATATCCTTAAAATAGGAGTTCAAACTTAAACTCCTCTAAATAGGAGTAAAACATAATTAATAAGACAAAAAATGCTCCCCACACGCACATTGTTTTTTAAGATGCATGAACCTATAATTAAGGAGCACAACAGATTTATTTTAAGATGCATGAGACTATACTTAAGGAGCACGGCAGATTTATTTTAAGATGCATGCGACTATTTTTATTGCATTCATGTTTTTTATTTTCTTCATTTTTTTCATTTTTTATAAAAAGTTAAAATAAAGATTTTAACTTAATTAATAAAACAAAAAAAATACTCCCCACATGTGTTGCATTTACGGCCAATACCAGAGGTAAAATTTGGCCAATTTCACAACAGCATGCTACCGACATCGAGGCTCACCACTGCAATCGTCGTCGAAGGTGATGCCCACCGCCGCCATCGTCGCCGCCACATACCTGCCACTATCACTTGAATCTCCACCACTGCCGTCCTCTGCTCCGCCGCACCGCTACAAACGAAACCTACCATTGACGCCTTTGATTTTTTGTCGTCATCGCTGACGATATCATTGCTATATACCATTATCAACAACACTACCATCACAATCTACACCATTGTCGCTACAATGCCACATTAATAGTAAATACAGTGTCAAAGAAAGACATCATAATATCAAACATGGCACCATGTAATGTCACATATGACAATATATAATACCATAGATGCCCATATATAATACCACATATGCGCATATATAATGTTACGGAGTACAATGTTGCACAATGGCATAATGTCAAACCAAATCCAATAACACTGTGTAGTAGATACGTGAAATGTAACTTAAGTCAAAACATAAAACCCCCAAAATAGGAGTTGTTGACTCACCGTTTGCCACCGCCAAGATATGCCACTTTCATCACCCCTTGCTCATGTTTTCGTCGCACATTGTCGGCATCACTAACCCCCACAGGTGTAGTGACATGGTGCTACATGGAGAAAAAATAATTCATACAGTGTCAGTCGAAAATACAATGCTAAAAATGACAACATACAGTGACAAACATGACATTGTAAGATGAAAAAACATAAAATTTTAGGTCAATCGAAAACAAAATATCAAAGATGTCAATGCACAGTGACAAACGTGGCTCTAAAAAATGCCAAAAGTTCAATTGTACTCGGTGATACATGTGCATCCATCGAGTCCACGAAGTCATTAATTATGGGAAGAAGATAATTAAAATAAACAAAACACAATCTCTCCATTGTTAGCTCTATGCCAAAAAAACAAAAAAAAAATCACCCCCACCAATAATAAGGCCAAATAGCTCCGGTGCCCCTTGTGGTTTGGAAAATTGGCACCAATACCCCCTCTATTTTCAAAACTTACTTCTAAAGTCCCCGTGGTTTCAAAATGCTGCACCCGTGCCCCCTCTGATCATTTTCCGGTCATTTTCCGGCAAAGAGGGGGCATTTGCGCATAATTTTTAAACGATAGGGGGCATTCGTGCTCATTTTTTATTTTTCCTTTATTATTTGTGTTTTTCTTTGTTTTTTTTTTAAATATTTTTTATCTCTTTTTTCTTTTCCTAGATTTTTTCTAATTTATATTCAATTTTTTATAATGTTTTAAAATTTTTAAATTTTTTGTGTTTGAAATAAAAATAAAAATAAAAAAATTAACATACATTGCATCTATTTGAAATTAAACATTTTCACTTTTTGTTACGTACTTATTTGAATAGTTCAAAAAGAAAAACCTAGAATAAAAAAATAAAAATATGAAAAAATAAAATGAAAAATAAAAATACACAAAAAAAGTCTAATACAAAAAAAGGTACAAGCCTAAAAAAGTCCCTAGAATTGAGATGTTCGAAAAAGATATTCATTTTTATTTTTGTATTATTTTGTTTCTTATTTTATTCCTCATTTTTTTGAAATTCTCAAAAAAAAGTTTACTTTTTTCAGAAAAAACAAAAATTGTTGATTTGAGAAGTACGTATACATTATATGTTAATTTTTTCAAAAAAAAATAACTTTAAATTTTATAAACATTATAAAAATAATTTTAAAAAAACATTTATTAATAAAAAAACAAATAAAGGAAAAAATGGAAAAAAACAAAAAAATAAGCGAGAAATAAATATCAGCACTGATACCCCCCGTAGTTTAGTAAATATGCTGCAATGCCCCCTTTTTTCGCCGGAAAAATGGCCGGAAAATGATTAGAGGGGGCACGGGTGCAGCATTTTGAAACCACAAGGACTTTAGAAATATGTTTTGAAAACAGAGGGGGTTTTGTTGCCTATTTTGCAAACCACGAGGGGTACTGGCGCTATTTGGCCCCAATAATAATAATAATAAAAGAATCCCAAGAAAGAAGAAAGAAAACAAACAAAAAGAGTTTGGATTGAAGAAGTAAAATAGCTAGCCATATATTGGCATCCGCATGAGGTTATCATTATTAGTCAAACTTTGTTAGCACTTAATTTTGGCTAAAGAAGTCAAGATGGGTGGTGTTCCGTTTCTTCTCCAGGCGGCTAAACAATTGTAAAATAAATATAGTTAATTACTCCTATTTAGAGGAGTTTAAGTTTGAATTCCTACTTTGAGGATATAACACATGTTTTACTCCTATTTAGGGGGTTTTCTTAAACATAAACTCTTCTAAATAGGACGACTTAAATTAATAAAATATTAAAAAAATTATAAAAGCACCACCCGCTCCATTATTGGCCCTGTTCGGCTGTTCCTAAACATTTTCTCAATCAGCCGCCCCTCCCCCCTTCTTCGATACTCCGTATATTATAATCGTCGCCGCCACCACCCGATCACAGCCCCATCCTCGCCGCCGCCGAATCGCCGCTGCCATGCACCCCCACCAATCTCAAACTCGTCAGCGCTTGCTCAATGTCGATCTCCCTTTTCTCCCCCATCCTCCTTCTTGATTCCATTACAATCATCATCGCCGCCACGCACCCCCACCCCTCTTAGACTCATGGTCGCACTCAAGCTACGCCACCACACCTCCATCTCCCTCCTCAAAGCCTTGGTTTCCAAAGTGCGTAGATTCTCTTTTGATCTTTAATTGAAATTTTTTTAACTTGAGTTTTGTTTGAATGCTTTGGGATGATGCTTGGTGTTGGAAAAATGGTAGTAAACCACTGATAGAGTGATATGGACGGTTGGCAATCCACCCGCCATAAAGGTGGTTGTGAAATGAGTGATGGTCGTCGGCAGTAGTGCAGGGTATGTAGTGTGCGGGTTTGACATTATGTCTTTGATTGACATTGTAAATTTGCACATATGACATTTTATATGGGCACTTGTAGTATTATGCACTGCCATATGTGATATTATGCATTGTCATATATGGCATTATATGTTGTTATGTGTGGCATTATGCCTTTTTTGACACTACAAAGACTATTAATCAGACACTATGATCGACGATAACAGTGCAAAGTGTGATGATGGTGTTAGCGGCTTGAGACGACTACTCGATTTTCATGTGGCGGTGGAGGCAGCTCCATGCTGACAACCCGCAATAACCGGTGCAACACTATTTACCATATTTCCATGTTTTAGCAATGGTATCAGCAGCACCGCCAATTGAAATGATGATTTATTCGTCATTGTGGAATACAAAATGGGTCAGTATGCGAGATTTCATATTATACTTGTGTGTATGCTTTATGAATGGTAAGTTACTTTATAATTTATGTCGGCGATGATAGTGACAATCAACGATAGCAATGGTTAGTTTTAGTAGCGGTGGTGCGGTATTGCGCCGGCCAGTGGGGGCAGAGCAGGGCAGCGATATGAAATTATAGTTTCAAAACATGAACTCCCAAAAATTATATCGAATAATCTAAAAAAATTTTCGCGCTCTTTAATAAATAATCTTACTTTTTATTTTCATCGGAAATAATCCTACATTTTTGCATGTGTTCAAATTTTGGGTCGTCGTTAAAAGGCTAACATCATTATAGAGATTTTTAATATTTGTTTTTCGCAAATAAATGAAAAATGAGATTATTTTAGGTAATCTTTTTTTTATTTTTTAATTTCTAACTTTAAATTTAAATACAACTAATGTGATTATTTAAAAAAAGTCGAGGTACACTAAAATCTCATCTGTATACCAGACAAACACAGACACTTACTCCCTCCGTCCCTAATTTGATTACAAATTGCGGGTTACGGAATAAAATTTCCTACTTTTTGAAATCATTTTATTTACAAATTGGTATATCAATAAGATTTAAAAATTATATATTAAAAAACTACGTCAAAAGTTCTACAAAACAAAAGGTGACAAGAATATTTTATTTTATCAAATACTTAGTGAAATCGCGTAAACAAATACTCCCTTCGTTTGGAAAAAGTGTTCCTATTTTGACTTTGTGTAAAAATAAGGAAGTATTAAATTGTAGTTGACTTCCAATTTTGCCTTTGATGTGATAGGTAAAAGTAAGATGTGATGGATAGATTATTAGAGATAAAGTATGATGTGATAGGTAGGGTATGAAAAAGTAAGGGTAAAAGTGGTTTTTTAATAGAAAGTGGAAGTGTTTTGTTGGAAGTGAAAAAAATGAAAGAGGAAGTGTTTTAAGAAACGGAGGGAGTAGAAGTTATCGGGAGTACTTAATACAAATACGGGGTTCCCTACATTTATTCATTTAAAAAAGTCTTAGGAAAAGTAATCTCGAACCAGAAAAAAGTCAACAGAGAAAAGGGAAGTGAGATGCATCTATGGCCGTCAACGAGGCTCAGGGACTCCTTCAAGCAGGGCTACTTGCAGAAACTCGAATGGAACCTCCGTATGATGGGGGCGGGCGAGAAGCAGCAGCCGCGGGAGTCCAAAAGCGGCGGAGTCGGCGGCAGCAATCATCAAAAGCTGCTGGATGACGGCGGTGCCGACGGTCTATCGGCGAATTCCAAGGGTTCCGGTAACGGAGGAGGGGTAAGCTGCCCGGTGGTTCTCTGCAGAGACATTCTCATGATCCTTTCTTGCTGCTATTGTTGCTTCTGCTGCGGAGGTACAATTATCTTTCCTTTTCTTCACTATTTTGATTTTTGCAATTGGACTATTTTTGTTGATATTGCTAACCCTAACTTTGAGATTTTCTGTTTAGTTTGCAATGTCCTAATCTTCAACAATTTAATTATTTTATTGAAGTGTATAAACCACATTGAACTTGGGAAAACATATTGAAATAAATTGGCCACCCCATTTCATATATGCCCTCTATTGTTCACATTGCAATAATGCAGTCACAATTGTTTAATAGTTTTGTCAATTTCACAGAGTAAAAGGCTTCTAATAAACTTAGGTATGTAATATTGTGCAATTTGAGATGTTAATTATTTATTGTGATTAGGCTTGACTTTTGACTCCATGATCTTTGAAACTATGATGTTAGATAGAAACTTTTGGAGATCCAGGATTAGAGTAGTTGGGTAGATCTGCGTGGCTTTTGTTCGTACTTTTGGCTGGCGTGTTTAATGTCTTAATCTGCAGCTTGTGTGCTTTGGATTTACTTGTCTTAGACGTTATATGTGTTTCTTTTCTCTTTGCTAGTTCTTTGTTAGTGTTAGTGTGGTTTGTTTGCCCGTGCTTCTTTTCTGAGTCGGGGTCCGTTGGAAACAACTTCTCTACTTTCAAGTAGAGTAGGGTCTGCGGACACACTTACACTCCAAGACCTATCAAAACACGACTTGATAATTTTTAACCCTCCTTGGGACAATTTGGCTGACCATGAACGTGATGTCCTAGTTTCAAGCTTGAGGGAAAAAATTGAGTCCACGTGTTGACCTTGCGTGGGTTATATACAAATTGAGCAGGTAGAAATTTTAAAACCTTCCTCGACCATTTCTTGAATTACATACATGTGAATGCCGTAACATGTTGTTACACAAGACAAAGTATAGAACAATTCCTTTGGCTCCTGACCCAAAATAGCGTGTTTCATTCTTTGAAAACGCTACTAAAAGGAAATGGGGAATTTACTTAAATAACACTTAAACATAATGACTTTTCCTAAATAGCATCATATTTGTTTTTTACCAATGTAGCACTTTTAGTCATTATCCATTAGTCATTATTCAAGTAAATGTTCGCCATCACTCGACACTATTCCTCCGTCTGGATATTATTAACTGCTATTTAGAGAATAAAACAGTTTAAGTGCTATTTAGAGAAATGACTTAAGGTTTAGTGCTATTTAGTGCAAATATTTCAAAGGATATTAAACACAAATGTTGAGGAACATATTTCTTAAGAATAGTCATAGGAAAAACAAAGGATGATAAATTCCATGAATATTTTGATTTATTAAGTTTTATTAAATAGACATAAATAAAATACAATGGAGTATAATTTTTTTAAAAAGATTATTGGGGTCGAGTCTATCTTTTCTTCGTTGCTATCATAGTGGCAGCGTGTTTCATTTGGTTGCTAGTTTTCCAAGATGGGATTCGAGGGGTTCAAACTTCATACCATTGCGCATGATTTCATTATATTTAGAGCTTGTTCTCTTCATCTGATCTGATCTTGTCTTATTTGATTCTAATTGGAATAAGTAATACTCCGTAAGTAATAAGAATATGGTTAAGAAAACAAGCTCTTAGTTAATCATCACTTTAGCCTAACAAAATGTAATGTTTGCAATGCTATTTGTAATATAATTAAAGAGTATTAGAAACTCTTCCCCCCCCCCCCTTTTTCTCCTTTTTTTCTTTATTCGAGATGGATATAGTGCGATAATCATCTCATGATTAGCGGTTGCGTTTGAGTCGGTTTTTTAAGAAACAGTCTCTCTACTTTCGAGGAAGGTCTGAGTACACACCATCCTTCCGAGACCCTATTTTTGTGGTATTTTACCGGATTTTTATTTGTTAATCATGTGACGATTGGATTGTTTAATCTCTCAGCCTGCAGCGGAGACGTAGAGGACAGGTGATTGAGCTAAAGTAGGAGGAACATCTAAGTATCCAACCACAGCCACGGAAATAACTGGTGCAACACAAAAGAGAGGAACTCTATCAGAAAAGAGCATTATATTGAACTTCCTCGTATGTTTTCTCCATTTACTTCTCAATAAATCCCTGTAAGTATATAATGGCCTTTTATTAGTATAACTAGCGTTTCATCTGTGCGGTTAAAATCATTGTGTTTGTTGTTGTATTTGTATTGTGACATCAAATGTACGATATTCATTATAAATAGAGTTACTGTCAGTAACAAAAACAATACCTTGAACAATATAGAGAATGTCGAGCATTTAAAGAAAAGAAAAGTTGAGCTTCTCCCTTTGCGTGCATAGTAAGAATTAAGAAACCCATTCCCCAAGATTCTCTAATCCCAAGGAACGCGGAGACATTGGCTCACTGCGCGTCATTTAGTTAAGAAAATATAAATAAATACTGCATTGTAATCGAGTCAATAACATTTAAAAAAAGCAAAGTTTGCTTGTGACATTATTAGGCATCAATTATTCTTACAATCCATAACTATTTCCAATAATAAGTGAATTAAATCATCTTTGTATCAAAGTCTAAGATAGTTAAAGCCCAATGAGTAAAGCTAAATGAAAAAAAAAAAGCACATCTTTTGTGAATTGCATCCCAATGAATGCATCTCAAACTACCCCCATAAATCCGTTATTCCGTCCCGGCCGGATATAGGTTTGGACCAAGAAGTGCATTGCATTTGATCTCAGTCTAAGGGGCTGTTTGTTTCAGCCTCTTAATGATTCAGATGTCTGAATGGTTCAGCACTTAATGGTTCAGATTGTTTGTTTCAGCCTCTTAATGGTTCAGATGTCTGAATGGTTAAGAGATTTGCCTCTGAATGGTTAAGTATTATACAGAGTCTGAATGGTTAAGACCTCTTATCTGAATTGATCAGACATTTGCCTCTGAATAGTTAAGCAATATACTAGCTCTTAATGGTTCAGACTTCTTACTGGTTCAGCACTTAATGGTTCAGACCTCTTACTGGTTCAGCACTTACCCATTCAGAAGTTGCCAAACAGCCCCTAAGTTGGGTTTGGATTGATGTGCACCGCTGTCTAGATGCATCAAATATACTCACATGTTCGTTATAAATATACCCAATGAAGCACTGTAGTTACTCGAATTATAAAATGGCTTTGTGTTTCAAGGTCAAATGATCTTTTGTCCATAAAATATACTCTTTTCGTTCCAAAATTATCATACCGTTACGCGTTACGATGTTTGATTGAAGTTATTTTCAAATCATTTTATATGAAAAATGATGTGGAATTAAAAAATAAAAATTACATTAAAAGATCTACAAAACTAGAAATAATATGAGTATATTATTTTATCAAATTGACAATGAGAATAGGCTAAAAAGGTGAATAAAATTTGACCCTCTAAATACTAAACGAAAAAATAATTTTTTGCGGAAGAAATGTGTAAAGATTCTTTTCTTTTCAAAATATGAAGAAAAATTATACTCACTCTGTCCACCATAGATCTTCCCAGACACTATTCACAGGGTTAAACGTTACTCATTTTGTTTGCTCAATTTTTCTAGTTATTCCATAAAATAATATAGTCTTGTCACCTCTAGTTTTGTAAAACTTTTCATGTAGTTTATTACTATATAAATTTTATTTTAAAATTTTACTCTTATAATCAATTAAATTGAATTGAAAATAAAGTCGGTCAAGCCTCGTAACACGTAATGAGAAGATCATACATGGACGGAGAGAGTAATGATCTATAAAAAAGAAATAATGGATTGGACTAAAAATCGAAAGTGACTTGATAAATTAATGCGAATGCCCAATCAGTAAAACAGAGGAACAGACTTAAAAGCGAGAGAATGAAACATCCGGTGGCGGAGGCGAACGAGGAGAGCCCGTTTGGCTCTCTGACTCCCGACGAGTTCTACACGCGCCACTCCGTCACTCACGGTTCCGAGTTCATCACCAATTCCCGCGGCCTCAACCTCTTCACTCAGTGGTGGACCCCACTCCCTCCCGTCGAGCTCATCGGCGCCGTCTGCGTCGTCCACGGCTTCACCGGCGAGTCCAGCTGGTTCGTTCAGCTCACAGCCGTTCACATAGCCAAGCACGGATTCGCCGTCTGCGCCATCGACCACCAGGGCCACGGCTTCTCCGACGGCCTCGTCGCTCATATTCCGGACATCAATCCCGTCGTCGACGACTGCGTCTCCTTCTTCGACTCCTTCCTCGGCCGTCATGTGCCGCCGCATCTCCCGTCTTTCATCTACGCCGAGTCTCTCGGCGGCGCAATCGCTCTCCTGCTCACTCTCCGCTGGGGCGATTCTGCCCCCAATCGATCATTCCACGGCGTCGTTCTGAACGGTGCGATGTGCGGAATCAGCGATAAGTTCAAGCCGCCGTGGCCGTTGGAGCACTTGCTTGACGCTGCCGCATTCCTGGTCCCCACCTGGCAAGTGGTTCCCACGCGCGGCTCTCTACTCGGCGTCTCTTTCAAGGTCACTCTCTCTGATATTCTCTGGCTCTAGTGCATTCTCTGAAACATTGAATTTAATTTCATTCCAATTCACCTCTGTAAACTTGAATTTAAAATTTGATGAATGAAGGAAGAATGGAAGAGGAAATTAGCGGCCGCAAGCCCTAGGAGGCCTACCGAGGCCGCGAGCCGCGACTGCGCGGGAATTGTTGAGGGTGTGCAGAGATCTGCAGGAGAAGTTCGAGGAAGTGAAGGTTCCGTTTCTGATTGTCCACGGCGGCGGCGACGTGATCTGCGATCCGGCCTGCGCGGCGGAGCTGCACGCACGCGCGGCGAGTGAGGATAAGACGCTGAATATCTATCCAGGTATGTGGCACCAGCTGGTCGGTGAGCCGGAGGAGAACGTGGAGCGGGTGTTCGGCGACGTGGTGGAGTGGCTGGTAACTAGGGCTCGACGCGCCGCCGCCTGCAAAAGGCCGGCATAAGACGGCGAGTGGTAGGTATTGGAGCGGGTGAGACACGTTCGGGACGTGGGCGGAAATGGGAAACGCATTTGATTGCGAATTTCTTTATTGCCCCTTTACTTTTGAGAATCATGAAACCCACCCCTTACTTTTCTAGATTTCGATCACTTCTCCCTTACTTTTGGAAAATCATTACAAGTTGTGTTCAAAAGATACTTTGTTTATGAATCTAAATTTCCATTGAGAATTTTTATGGAGACTTTTTTTTTTTTTTTTTGCATTAGATTCACAAAGTAAAAAGACAATGTGGAGTTTAGGATGTTGAAATTATTTTAAATTTAATTTATGGAGTATTTTAAATTGGTATAAAATAAAAATATATACTCCGTATATATTTTAAAAAATATCCAAGAAAAGTCGGGAAGATAATTGTAAAAGGAGGGAGTACTACATATGTAAGACTAAAACATGTTTTATATGCAAAAATATGATCTTCAATATATATATATTTTCATATTAAAATATAACGTCAAAAATATTGTAAATACCAATATACAATGCCAAATTGCGAATGTTTCAATGTCGACAACTCAACACTATTATTTAGAAGATAATAATATTGGTCTTTTTTAGTATAAAATGAATGTTTTGCCATTTTGGTCTTATTTATATTATTTTCTGATTTTAAAATACATTGAAATTAAAAATTTACAACACAAGAAATGTCATGATTGTATTATTTGGCAATTTATAGATGAAAAATATGATAGGAGAAAAGATATAGATTGACCACGTAAATAATAAGATTAATAACTAATCTAACTACCTCTATTGTTTTGAGACAAAAGGATTGGAAGAACATGAAAAAGATATAGTAATAATAGCTTGCCATACATAAATATATGCAAAAAAACAAAATTGAAAAACAAGTAAGATTAAGCATAGACATGAGAAGTAAGCCATGAGTTAAATCCCTTAAATGCGGAGTACACAAAGAAAATAATAAAAAACGGTATTAACAGAAATGTTGTTAGAACTTCATGACAAAATTAAACCTATTGGCCATCCTAAGTTCATCTTTGATCTTAATGTCATCATAGGAAAAACACATCCATTTTAAGATCTGCATATCAACACCTGATTGTACATTAATTATTTACACTCATGATGGCGATGATGAATGAGGTTCTTAGATCCGCCATGGAGATTGCATACCAGAAAGCAATCCAACACCTACAGGACAACGAGCCGATCCAGTTCCTCAATGCCTGTTGTCGATTCTACGAGCTCGTTGCGTTTCTGGTGGACGGCACTGTTCGTCTTCTCGAAGAAACCCCCGCCGCCCTTTTGGAAACCAAGCGATGGCTGCAAGAACGCATCGACGCGGCCCAGAAGGACAGAGAAGTAAAAGACGCCGAGCTCTGCAACAACCAGATCCAACAAATGGGTCGCGACTTGGAACTCTTAAAAGACGTGTTTGGAAGAATAATAACATCTGGAGATGATATTCTTCCAAAACAAGATGACTCAGAAGAACAAGAACCAGAACAAGAACATGAACAAGAACAAGAACAAGAACAGGAACAAGAAGAGGAAGAAGAGATTCGTGTTGTTCCCTCATCGGCGAGGAAGTTGGAGAAAGAGGAGGAGGAGAACTTGATCCAAGTGTTGGACTCAGTGCTGAGGTGTCTGGAGAGGGAGGAGGATTTGGTGATGAGCGCGAGCAGCGAGATAGAGCAGCACAGCGTGCGCCATTACCTAGAGATCTTCAGGACAGAGGAGCGCGAGGAGAGAGAGGCCATCCAGTGGCTGCTGGACTCGGACAAAACCATTCTGAGCTCTGTGAACATAAAACTGACCAAAGCACTCAAGCAGCTCCTCACCAGCAAGGAACTCTTGCTGGATTTGGAGCATGGTTTGGGCTTGGAAGACAATATTGTTAACAAAGAAAACAATCATAACAATAGTGTCGCGACCGAAGATGGCGACGACAATGCCTTCTCATCACTTAGGAGGTTTCAACAAGTCCTTGCTGATTTTGAGGACACTGTCCTTGCTTGTTTGGCGAGCAAATGCGCAAGGTATTTTAACATGGTATCTGAGCCTTGTTTGTTTGCTTGGAATTTCAAACAGATATTAGCTTTGAAAGAAGAAACATGTCCTTTTTCACAGGATAACGGAACTGGAGCGGAAATTGCAAGAGTTGGCGCGTCCTATTGCGTCACTCAAGAAAAAGAAAGGGCGTTACAAGAAGGCGTTCTTGGCGCGGTGTCGCAGCCTTCATTTAGCAGAAAACGAGGTTCCTAAGAACACCGTTTGCTTGTTGATTTCTAACTCTCGTAATGAATTTTGTGGTACATTGAAAATTTAATGAATATGGACGTATATCATATATGTCTACATTGATTCGATTTTTGATGTAATGTAAAATTAGTCAAGTTTTACTCAGTTTTAGACATTTTATGGTTTTGGATTTGATTATAATTTGTGCATGCAGGTTGATATGCTAGGGGATCAGGTGGACTCACTGCTGCAGTTTCTTGAGAAAATATGCAGGAAATTGAGCAAAAATTCATCATTTTTGTCATGTCATTTTGAGGTTTGCCAGAGCTAAAATACTACCAAATAATCAAATTAATACTTCTTTGGTTTCAAACATATAAAAAAAAGAAGAAGAAGAAGAAGAAATTGATGTTTGTTCTTTGTGCAGGTCTCTGACATTGTAAGATTAATCAAGAAAGAGTTAGGAAATTGCACACCTAAAATTGATGCTTAGAGAAGGATACAAATAAAATATGCTGCATTTGAATAATAATGTGATGAACCACAAGGATGATATATTATTGGGGAACAATGATGATTGGGATATTATAGTGTGTTATGTGTACTTATAATTCAGAAAAAATTCATGTGTAGTGGCTCCAAAGTTTTATAATTAACAAAAAATAGTACTTTCTCAATTCCAAAATATTCGATGAATTTACTTTTTGCAAAATCAAATGGTATGAATTTTGATTTTCAATTAAATTGTGAAGAAATATAAATCCACCAAATAACTTGACTTAGGGGAGTAAGACAACAAAGAGGGGATATGAATAGTGCTTATCTATCCTAAAAAAAAATCTCAGTTAAACTTTAATCATTTTTCTTTATATTTTCATTAATAAGTTGGTAAAATAATATAGTTACCCTTGTTTTTAGAACCTTTAATATAGTTTTTAAATGTAAACATCTTATTTTTAAAACTTTACATGTATAGTAAAAAATTTAAATTAAAATAACTTTAGCGAAATCTCATAAATCAAAATGAAAAAATGTTTTTGGATAGAAGGCGGTAATATATTGCTTGAACAATTTTGGATCCTTTAGAAGGTTAATGACAGACGCGAGTGAAGTTATAGAGTGGATGGCCGACTACACTTCTCTTAGGGGCTCTAATCGCGATATCATTGATGAGATTAAACATATCTGGCAAAGAAAGTTTACAAGGATTGAGTTCAAAAACATCTTTCGAGAGCAAAACTTTGTGGCTGACCGCCTTGCTAAAATTGAAACCTTCCAGGAGGCGAATTGGATTGACCACGAGGACCCTCAGCCTGGGATGGAAGACATCATTGCTAATGACATAATGGGTGGTACCAGAATTCGTAGAGTGCATCTGAGTTAGTCTGGGGTCTCCCCTCCCTTCGGATTTAAAAAACTAGTTCCACCACGATTACGCATTTGTGGCAATTTTTGTAATCCTCGTGTAACAAGTATAAACTCGATCAACAAGACACATGCACGCTCAACCCACTGCCAACTGTCTTTAACGTGGTAGGAGCCTTCAATTAATACGCCTGCAGTAGGCCCCATATCAAGAACGGTCGTGATATTAGAAATGGACTGGAGACCCGAATGGCCGAACCCCTGTTTAAAGAGTTGCTTCAATCGATTCCACAAGGAAGATGGTTGCAAGCACTACGAAGAGACACGATCGCAGATGAGTATCTAGAGACGACCTCTGGCGTTGCCCCTAGAGTCCTAAACTCGTTCTTGCATTGCGTATGAATAGAATTGAATACATAATAAATTTTTTAAAATTATTTTTTAAAAGAAATTTAGGGTCTGGTTGATAAGTTCTGTAGACATGATACGATACGAGTTCTGGAATTTGAGAGAAATAATATTTAAAAATTAAATAGATAAAATAATATTTTAAAAATAATATATAAAGCAAATTTTATAAAATTATTTTTATATCAGTAACTAATGCGTAATATAAATTTTAATTAATTAATAATAAAAATTTATCAATTTAAAATACAAAAAATGAACTCGATACTTGGTCTTTAAACATAGATGGCCATATTCTACCGAAAGTTATTTTAAGATACCTTCGATTTTTCTGGTAAGGAATTTCAGCTCTTTCATTATCGAATATTAACAAACATTTGAAATAATACTTTGTTATCACTCGTTCTCTTTAGTTTGCAAAATGATAACTAACTTTCATAAGCATTTCTTGCATTTTATTTTTTCATTTTTAAATTTTTTATCTTTCTTTGGTTAAATGTACTTTCGGTTTTTCAAAAATAAAAAGTTTTGTTACATGTACTTTGGTTATATTCATTCCGATTCGTATCGAAACCGATACCGAACCAAACGGAACCGATACTTCAAAATCGAGATTGGTACGACGTAAAATCTCATACCGAACCGAAATATTTAGTACGGTATCGGTACGAGCTAAATACCGTACCATACCGTATAATGATCACCCCTAACTAACAATGTAAGAGGTGATAATTGTTATAGACTTTATCCCCAACACTAATCCACTTTCTTCCTACCCCGACTCCCGAGTACAAAATTATTTCAAGAATTGTGATCAATTCACAAGTCACACCCTTCTTCTACCAATTCACCGTTCTTCTTCTTCTTCTTCTTCTTCTTCTCCCTCAGGTATTTCTTTCTTCAAACTCCCATATCCGATCTTCTCTGTTTCAACTTCCATCCTTATCAAATGTTCTCAAACAAATTGTTATGCATACTTGAAACACGATTAGCAGATGTTTTTATCATTATTGAATTTCTAGATCTATACTCAAATTGTTAAAACGGAAACGCTGATATTCAATTGCCCGTTTTTTTCCAAAGAAGGATGTGGAATACCACTCTACAGATCCGATTTTCACACATCTGAGAAGTATTTGTTTTGTTTCATTTGGTCAAATCTATTCCGTGATTTAATTTTATTATGTTCTCTATAATGTCTTTATCAGTTTTAAAATTTTAAGTATTTGAATTTCGAATTTTAATTTTATCTACCCAGCATTACGTAAGCAAATCTGTATTTTTTTATCAGATTTTTTTTTGCTTCTTAGGCAAAAGAAAGTTTAACTCAAAGATGCACGATTTCTGGTGCGGAAAAAGTGAACATTTTTAGCTCAAATTGTATAATGAGAGCAGGAGCTGTTTTTGTGCCTTTATAATTTTAATTGGGATAAAAATTCAAAAGCTTTGAATTTATTATTAGGAAATATAAGAACCACAAAAAAATATATAAATATTGCTATGGTTAGTCTTTTACAGTACTCTGGATCACTCCAACTCTGCGTTCTAGATCTATATTCAAATTGCTATATTCAAAAGTTCAGAGCAAATGGGATTCTGTGATGTGAATTTTATAGGAAGTGGTTATAGTCATTTCTTTTTCCTGTCAAATGAGCGATCTTGAATCATGCTAGCATTAGTTGTGCAAACTGATTTCTGACTAGAGCATCTTGCATCCGGGGGTTTCATCTATTTCTGTTTTACCAAAAAAAACCTAACTCTTCTATCATTTACCTCCTAATTCTGTTTTTTAAATTCTCCGTTGTTCTTAAAGATATATTGTTGTTGATTCTCATTCCTTGAAATTTGCAGCGTGAGCAAATGAGTTGCATCGATTAAAAAATGTTTGAACTGCTATTTAGTTATATGGACATTATTCATATCTTCTCAAATTTCAAATAATCTTTTTTTTCTCTAACTTCATTGCACCCACTGTCTATTGTTTCTTTTCCCAATTTCCAGTATGGAATCTGGCAGGGGCCAAGGTGGAATTCAACTTCTCTTAGCCGCAGAGCAAGAAGCTCAGCAAATTGTTAATGCTGCGAGGACTGGTGAGACCCGTTGTCTTGTTATTTTGTGAGGACTTTGGGTTACAAATGGACTCGTAAAACTGTCATGTTTCCCCTACTTGTTTATGACTTGAGTTAGATCGTCTTTTACTGTTTACATTTAACAAGATTGATTATTCTCATGAAAGTTATACAATTACTATCATAGAATTAAAGGCCTGGATAGTTTTTTAGCTAATTGTTTGCACACATGATAAAAGAGAGTCTGGAGAGTAGTTATCTTGTGATCTTTTCATGGTAGATTTAGTCAAAGATCTGATAACTTGTGTCTAACTCCCCCCCCCCAAATGGTCCACATAATATTACCTTTAAACACAATGAATAAAAGTTAAGAATCTGAGATACTTAACACACCCTCTCATCCCAAATGGGGTTTAACAATGGGTAATAACTCTCCCGAATGGGCTGCCACAAGCTATCAAACCCCACAAATCACAACAAGCTTTGTTACCAACTAAGGGGTAATGGTGTACTGCAAGGGTTTGGGTTACGATAGACCTAATAATGAAGAACTCGATTATTGATTTAATGCATGGATTCACTATTTTTAAAAGTTTTTTTTATGTAAACTCTGGTTCAACTTTATTGTTCTGAACATATAAAAGCAACAAGACTATATGCTTTGGCCTTTTATACTTTGTTTTTAGTAGTTCTGCATTTCTTTTCTTGGACCACCAAGATATTGAATTCTGCCCAAGTCGCTCTCAAAGGATCCTCAATGGGAGATGCCAATTGCTGACCCCACACTTAAATATTAAACACAAACTCAGTAGTAAGTAGACATCTATCAACTTATGTGTGGTACTACGTACTTAATAAACCACTTCAGCTCAATCCGGGCTCTACAATTGAAGGGTGGACAAATGGGTCCAAAGTGGCTGCCTCAAAACACTGTGCAGGTGGACGCCTCACACCTTTTTATACTAGACTCACTCAAACCCTGTAGATGGTAAACAATGGATGCAGGATACTCAACACAAGATATATGAAGCTGCATGCTTGCATTTGCAGGAAAACTGGCTAGATTGAAACAGGCAAAAGCAGAAGCCGAGAAGGAGATAAGTGAATTTCGTGCACATATGGAAGCTGAATATCAGAAAAAGCTTGCTCAGGTACAATACATAAAAAAAACTACTAGTTATACGGAGTATATAATTGAATCCACAAAAGATAGTAATGTTGTAGAGCTGAATCTCTTGAATAAAGTTAACTTTGCTCAAAGCCCGGTATATGATCAATTTCATTCTGTGGGATCACTGAAAGTGTGCCTATATACTGTGTTCTGGTTGCATCATTAACACTATGTTTGGTTCAAGGAATTTGCAAAGAAAAGAAAAGAAAATGATTTTCTCTTTTTCCTCACCAAAATGGGAGGAATTTAGTTTTCTTTTCTCTTAGTACATTTTGTCTTATCATTTTCTTTTTCTTCCATTTTTCTTTTCAATTCCTCTCTAACCAAACAAGAAAAACTGTTTTCCATCTGATTTTCTTTTCTTTCCCCTTTCAAACTCCTTGAACGAAACATAGTGCACGGCTTTTTATTATTTACTTGACATTGTGGATTATAGTGTATATGCTATAGCCAACCATTGTATAACTAACAGTGGGGGCTTTGTTGAACAGACTAGTGGGGACTCGGGAGCGAATGTCAAGCGCCTAGAGGCAGAGACAGAGGCCAAAGTTCAACATTTGACGACAGAAGCTTCGAGAATTTCGCATGATGTTGTTCAAATGCTTTTGAGGCATATCACCACAGTGAAGAACTGAATGGTACTGTAAGTGGGCCAAACACCATTCTCTTCTCTTTGCTCATTCTCTTCTCTATCGGGTACTCTGTGCCTGGCCAACCTGTATTGTATTTCCTCTATTTTAATTGATTGTCAATCTTCTATAATGGTTGTTTCTTATGTCCTGGTTGAATAAAGCAGTCAAATGCTGTGCTTTTGTACCATGGATTTTTTTTAATATATATTAAAATGGGATGAGCAATATAAACTCCATTATTCTCAGGATGGAAGTGTCACTATTGACTTCATACATTGTATGTGAACACTGATGTCAATGGCACTATGTGAGTATTGATACTTGATATGCTTTTCTGCTGTCAACAGTTTTGTTGGTGTGAAGCTTATGCCTAGCTTGTCAGCGTTTTGAATAATTTTTTAATAGTTCAGATTTATTTTGAAAACGACATGTTCTATGGCCACTTCACTTTGAGTGGTCAAAAAGGATTCTTTCCCAATTGAGATACCTATGATGCTCTTTTTGCAAAATTGATACTCTCTCTGTTCCATTTTAAATTGTCTGTTTGCTTTTTTTTCTGTCCCAAAATAAGTTGTGTGTTACTTGTTATCGTAAACTTTTATGAGTAAAATACCTAAAATATCCCTAAAATAAGTCACTTTTTTCCACATTATCTTCTAATTCATCGTCACCTTTCTTTAAAAGTAATGACAATTTCGAAAAATCAGGTCTATTTTTTATTTTCCTTAAATATGTCCAAAAATCAAAATAGGCGATTTAAAACGGGACGGAGGGAATAATTCTTATTCTTCGAAATCAACTAAATTTGCACTTTGCAATTGACGTGAGTGGAGGTTTGGTTGGGGTCGAGATAGGGTGGGGGTTTATTGGGGGTTAGGGGTAGAAATTATTAATTTTACAAATACCTTAATTCAGACAATATCTTCCGTGGCCAATCAAAGAGAGTAGTCATAAAAAATTAAGGTTTCACATGCAATGCTCGAAAAAAGATTACTCTTGCATATGAGGAGACATGTTAGAATATAAAAAACATTTTCTGGGCCACAATAACAAGCTTAAGCTTTTGGTTGAGTTGGTTCCTTGACAATTATAAAAAGAATTATATCTTCCATATTTATTTTTGAAACAGAGCTAGGGCCTTGTTTGATAGGACAATAAGAACGTTAGAGATTTGTGTTAACATTTTAAGAAAATATCTAACGGTAGCTTTTAGTATTAACATTTTCAAAATGAATGTACACCATTGGATTTTTATCTAAAAAACTAAGAAAAAAGACTAAAATAAAAGTAAAACATTGAACATATATTAAAATAAGAGTTCTATATTTATATTTTTGAAATAGGAGTTAAAATACATTTATATTGTGAATCATGACCATATACATTATCCAAAAGTATTGAGAAATGTCTATATACAGTGCTACATTACAGCAATACAAACTCTTATTTTAGGGATAAAAACTTGAAATTTCTATTTTGATATTCATTCTCAATAAAAAACGTTATTCCTTAACATTCATTAGTAATGTACTCCCTCCGTCCGTAAATAAAGTTTACGTTTTGACTTTTGGTCATTTTTATTGAGTGTTGACTTTAAGATGGAGATGTCCACAATACCCCTCCTCATCCCTTCTACCCTTCCCTGTTTTTTCTTTCGCCTCCACAATACCTGAACATCGGCGACCTCAACATCGGCAACCAGGAGCCCCACCCAGCAACCAAACTCCAGCCTCACAATAAGCCCCGCACCACCACCGTAAGCACCCGTCGACAACTGCAGCGGAAAGAGCTTCACGAGGAAGCAGATCTACGAGGAGGTGAAGCTCAACGACCATAAAGCTGACCCGTCCACTACCTCCGCCACCTCTGACGTTGCGCAACCCCACCAGGCACCTCCCACAGTCCATCCAACCACAAAGGAACCATCAATTGCAGAAATTGAAGCCAATTTGAAGAAACCCCAATTTCAGATCCTAGGGTTTTCCGAGCCTAAAATCTTCAATTCGTGAAGTTCAAGGCAAAATTAGAAAAAAGGACTGGATATTCATGATTCTCGTGCAAAAACGGTTCATTTGGCGTTGGTCCCGTCTGTTTCTGCTCAGGAGAAAGAAAAGAAGAAGAAAAGAAGAAGAAGAAGAAGAAGAAGAAGAAGAAGAAGAAGAAGAAGAGGAGGAGGGAGGGGGAGAGAGAGGATTGAAAGTTCCGCGGATGGGAGAAGAAAAAGAAAAAAAGAAAAACTAAGGAAGAAGAGGAGGAAGGGGGAGAAGGAGAGAGAAGATTGGAATGGTAGAGAAGGGTATTTTTGGAAGAGTGTGAGTTAAAATTAGAAATGTAAACTTTATTTTCGGACGGAGAAAAAGAGAAACGTAAACTTTATTTCCGGACGGAGGGAGTACTACGGAGTACTTCGTATAAGCTAAAGAAGAATATCAGCTCGCATCATTTTTTAAACAAATCTTAGTGGACCCAATTGCTTTTTTTATTCTTTAAGTTTCTATGGATGACCAAATCTTCCCTCCATTATTTTTTGAAGATCCTTCCCTCTACTAACTAAACAAAGACGAAATGACTTATCCATGGGAAATTCAAACTCAATAAATTTATTTAAAATCTTAAGAGTAAATTCTATAATTAGTCCTTTATAACAGGGGGGTTTCCCTATTTAGTCCTCTATTATCAAATATTATCCAAGTAGTCCTTCTTTTATGGGTACCTTTCCACAAATAGTCCTGATCTTCTATCATGTTGGTGTTAATTTGAGGGCTAAAAGTATAATTTCACAATGATAATATATCTTTTTTGTCATACACAATTACAAAGGCTGTTCCGTCTGCATCGTTTGTGAATTACAGTCGCTTTTTATGATAACTATAGTCTACAAATGTGATCTTTCGTCAGAATCCTATCCCACAATCATAGTCATTATTTTGTGTTATCCGCTTAACCAATATCAGAACACGTCACTAGACATAATGTTGACGTTAAATTATACTTTTAGCCTTTAAATTAACACCAACATGGCAGAAGATCAAAAAAAGGACCATTCGTGGAAAGATACCTTTAAAAAAAGGACTACGGGAGTAATATTTGATAATAGAGGACTAAATATGGAAACCCCCCTATTATAAAGGACCAATTATGGAATTTACTCAAATCTTAAATTTCAATTTTAATATTTGAAATCTAGTGATTTCTAATTCCAAATGTTGTTTTCAATTTTAGATTTTAAATTTTGAAATTGACAAAGACAATAAGGGAAACAGTAATTTTTAATTATAAGTTATAATTTAAAGAAAAGTTGGGCTTAAATTTGTAAATGACACGGAAAGATGTATGAATTTGTAATCGGGTTAATTTTGAATTAGAAGAATTTGGTCCAAATCCAAATCCGAACTCTTCGACTTCCCAAATAAGGAATTTGGATCAAATCCAGATTATCTAAATTCAAGTTTCCAAACAAGGATTTTTTTATTGCGTACTACGGAGTACTATTTTAATGACATTTTTAAAATTTTGATAATTAGTAATTTAAAATAAATTTATGTTTATTAGTTATTTCAAGTAATTTTTAAAAATAAATCTCATTAATAAAAAAATTACGACAGAGTATTTTAAATTGATCTATTGGTTTATTAATTTTAATTTGTTTATTGATTTTCCATACTCAAAATACAATACTTTATTTCCAATCCATTATTCCAAACTCAAACCACAATATATTTTTTATGTTGAATCTAATGAAGCAAAAATTTGATATTTTTAAATCAATATTATTAGCATTTTAAATAATTTGTCAATAGTGTAAGGTTACTTTCAAAACAATAAGTTAAAGATTTTCATTTTTCAATCAGTTAACTCTGCTAAAATTCACCCTTTATTTCCTCAAGAAAAAAAATTTACCCTGTCCTGTATTTAAGAAGTTTGCTAAGCAAGCAGTTACTACTACTAGACTCCCTGACAGACATGCCCTGCAACTCCCCGCACTTCTCGCTGCTATCCTCATTTCTCATTTCTTCCGTTTTTGTTTTTTTTGAGTGGTAGTCGGATTCTTTCCGGATATGTCGGCCGATCATCCCACCGCCGGCGTTGACACCGATAAGCTCAGCTACGAGATATTCTCCATCCTCGAGAGCAAGTTCCTGTTCGGCTACGATCACCAAAAGCTCTGGATTCCCAAATCCATCTCACCGCCGCCGCCGTTGCCGACCGATGAAGTAGTCTCTGCCCTTTCGCCGCCGCCGAAAGGAATTTGTAAATACCCGAGGGGGAAAATCTGCGTTCTGTCCGTTGATGGCGGCGGAATGCGGAACATCCTCTCCGGGAAGGCGCTGGCGTACTTGGAGAAGGCGCTGAAGGAGAAATCGGGCGACCCGGATGCCCGGATTTGCGATTACTTCGACGTCGCTGCCGGCTCCGGCGTCGGAGGGATTTTCACGGCGATGCTGTTCGGGACGAGGGACCAGAGCCGTCCGATTTTTGCGGCGGAGGAAACGTGGAGGTTTTTGGTTGAGAAGGGAGGGAAGCTCTACCCGAATTCCGGCAGAAACGGAATTCTCCGGCGGATTTTCCGTAGCGAAGCGGCGCCTTCCGCCGCCGGTATGGAGAAGGCGATGAAGGAAGCCTTCTCAGACGAGAAAACGGGTCGGGCGTTGACGCTGAAGGACACGATTAAGCCGGTTTTGATTCCGTGCTACGACCTATCGAGCGGCGGCGCGTTCGTGTTCTCCCGGGCCGACGCGCTGGAGTCGGACGGGTTCGACTTCCGGCTGTGGGAGGTGTGCAGAGGCACGTCGGCGGAGGCGGGAGTCTTCGGGCCGGTGGGGATGAGTTCGGTGGACGGGTCGACCCGGTGCGTGGCGGTGGACGGAGGAGTGGCGATGCCCAACCCGACGGCGGCGGCCATCACGCACGTGCTGCACAACAGGGAGGAGTTTCCTCTGGTGAGAGGGGTGGAGGACATTTTGGTACTTTCGCTGGGCACGGGTCAGCTTATAGAAGGCGGCGGTTTGTCAAGCGAGCGAGCCAAGGAGTGGAAGGGGAACGAGTGGGCCCGCATCTCCGGCGACTGCTCCGCCGATTTAGTTGACCACGCCGTCGCAATGGCGTTCGGCCAGTGCCGGAGCTCCAACTACGTGCGCATTCAGGTGCGTCCAAAACCTCCATTAACATTCCATCTTTTTAACTAATTACGTAGTACGGAGTAGTATGTTTAAATCATCTTGGACGTTTAAGTTAGAAAAAAAAAAGAATTGTTTGACAAAATGAGAGAAAAGAGAGTTGTTGAGTTGTAAATCATAAAAGTTGGTTTACCTTTATTGTTAGCTTAATCTGTATTTTGTTGAAATTGTTATCTAATGATTGTTTTTAATATTAATATTTTAATCTCAATATTAATTTATACTATTAAATAATTTTTTATGTTAAATAAATCATAGTTTCCAAACAAATTAGTCTAAATAAATTATTTCCTCCCATCCGTCCAAAAAAAAATTCATTTGATATTTCATAGTTTTCAACACAATATTTTGGTCATTAATATCTTTCTTTATATATAAATATATTACAAAAAAATTAATATTTCAAATTAAATATATTAATATTAAACTTAAACTAATATGATAATTCCATGAATTTTTTATGGAATTTGTAGTCAAAATTTAAAAATTTGACGATACAGAGGGAGGATACAGAAAGTTGTTCTCTTAATTAACTATCAAAATGTTTTACTCTGTCTTATTCTCGAGTATATACACAAGTGCATATATAGAAACAAATCCTAAACATAAATGATAATGAATGTTAAGGAACTGGAAGAGATATATATCTAGAGTAATTTACCTAAATAGGACTAAAACATAATGACTTTCCCAATATAGGACCATATGTTTTTATTTCCCAATGTAGGACCTTTGGTCATTATTAACTAGTCATTATTCAAGTAAATGTCCATCATTACTGGGCATTATTCCTTCCACTAAGACATTATTAAGTCCTAATTAGGAAATAAAAAAGTTTAAGTCCTAGATTAGGAAAGTCATTATGTTTTAGTCCTATTTAGTGCAAATTTCACATATATCTATCTCTAATATTTAACATAAACTTGTATTCATATTCTTTAATCTGCCAGAATATATGGGAATCATATATTGCCCTCCCAAGATCAACTCATATGACTAAATCAGCAATGAGCTTCACATCTATAGGAGCTTTTTTCTTTAAAAAAAAACTTCTTAAATAAGATTAAGACAGTGAAATTTATACTTTTTAATTTCCATCCCGATGGATTTTTGACATATAGAACGTTGGTTATTTACATTTTAAATGTAGGAATGTTGTTTACTTCCTACAATTTTCCTTGACAATACCATTATTAAAGATTTACTCCGTATATTTTAGTCCTACGTAGGCATATATTTCTCGTAAAAAAAGATTATTGTCTTGAGAATTTGCCATCACCTTAGTTAAAAATAGACAACACATTTGTGTTGAATGTAAGTAGTAGTCCTGAGCAGAATGGTACAAATTAAAGTAGATAGATAATATATATATATATATATATATATATATATATATATATATATATATATATATATATATATATATATATCTACCAGTTGTGACCTGGATGGAGAACAGTATATATTTTCTGTGGCAAATATAAATGAAAAGGGAAAGAGGCAACAAAGGATTTATAGTGGACCTGTCCAAAGAAAGAAAACCCCAGACACTATACTCTCTGCTCTGCCCTTATTTATCAGCCATGGCCCTTTTACAGCACCAGTAGTACACTTTTACGGCCACTCCATTCATTCATTCCCCCTTCCCCCATTTCCCATCTTTTACTCTTAGGTCCCCTACCTGCTGCATTTTACAGCACCAGTAAATGCCTACATTTTTTTTTTTTTAATTTCAATGGTAAATAAATTCATGTGCGTGCAGGCAAACGGGTCAAGTTTGGGGGGCGGGGCGAGCCTAGACACCGACCCGAGCCCGAAGAACGCGAGGAGGCTGGTGGGGATTGCAGAGGAAATGCTGGCGCAGAAGAACGTGGAGTCCGTGCTGTTCGGAGGGAAGAGGATCGGGGAGGAGAGCAACGCCCAGAAACTTGACTGGTTCGCCGGAGAGCTGGTGGAAGAGCGGCGGCGCCGGAGGGGAATATCCCCCATTGTCACCATCAAGAAAGCCGCTCCTCCTTCAACGAGCCTCCCCTGTTGAATTGAAAGAGAAAAGGGCTGGTAAGATCATTATATTATCTCTATTACGTAATTATTTTGCCTCTTATTTATGAGCAGCATGTAAATATTTTATTTCATTGCTCATACCGGTCGTACTTTGTTAACCTATTGATAATATGACACCAACTACCTCCCTTAACAAACAAAATATATATACTCTAAATACAAGCATTGACGTTTCACAATGTCTTTTGGTATTATATATTGACACTCTTTGACATTATAAGTCTTATTTTGGTATAAAATCATATTTTGCTATATAGAACATGTCTTTTTAGTCTTAGTTAGGAGGTAGTTCTCCCTTTTAACGATGAAGTCCTTTTGACACTAGATCCCCACAGCGGTCCATTTGAGGTTATTCGACAGGTTGTTCGACCTCGAGCCCACCCATGCCTCCCTCCTTTTGGGTGACAATCTACTATCAAAACTTTGACATTGGATTGTCACCAAAGGGAGAGGGTTAGAAGGAAAATGAATCAGTTCCGGGTCTAATGGAACACTATAGGAGTCTCAAATGGAGTCAGTGTCATTTTATGACACTCAGGTGAATGTAATCCAATTTCAAAATAATGGTGATATAATAGTTAGAGCATAATGGTATAAGAGTTTGGGTGCATTAATATACACTTAAACCTATTAAAAAAAGAAAGAGATAAATGAGTACAAAATAAGTTTTCAGAATTATATTTTTTTCTTAATCACTTTTAGTTCCACTATCAGTTCACCATTATCATGTCTTCACCATATCTTTCCAACCAACCAAACAGGGTGCTGTGAATCACAAGATGCAGATACTGTTTGGTTACCTGTGCCCGTGGGTCATTTTTGTCATTTTGTTCATGTCTCTAATTAAAAAGATCAAATTGTCCCATGGTGACTTCATCAGTTAGGTATGGAGAGAGAAACTCTCATGCCAAATAGGTGATGATGCCATATCCTAGAAATAGAAAGTTGTTATAGCTCTAGCATTTAGCAGTAAAAAAAATATAGAATCATGCTTTGGGTACCTTATACTATTTTTTTTAATCTCAATTTGACACCGCCTTTTTTACGGTCATTTACAAACACTCGATCTTGTTCAGTATTTGTGAATGTCTGCAAAAAAAAAATTGGTGTCAAACTTGGGGAATTCAAAAAAAATGGGGAAAAAGGGGGTGCAGAGTAATATATAAACTTACCAAGAGTGAAAATGACAGGGTCATTTTAGTGATTTGCAAATGGACCCTAGAAAAAGCATGTGGGGGAAGGGGGGCATTGTGGTCATTTGAGTCTTTAGAACTTTGGGTGGGGGTTCATATAGAGTAAAGGCACTTCGTCCGTACTCTGGAAAGAATTAAAGAAAAAGGGCTTTGTGGATTTGATGAATCATTTTGATGGGTGCTGGGGTTGACTATCTGTGGGCAATGTAGTAAGTAGTTTTATGACATTACCCAAATGCCCAATGTTGTCAAGTTGCAACCTTTTCAAGTTTTGTTACACCCATTTGTTCCAACACAAAAAAAAAGTTGACATGGTGTTTGACTGTCACAGAATTTAAGATAAGTTCTTAAAAGTAAAAAAAATGTATAGTTTAGAAAAATTATGTGAGTGACATGTTCATTACTAAAAAAATGAAGTACTTCGTAAGGGAGAAGAATTTTTCTAAAGACATACAAAAAGAGAATGCGAGTAAAGTTTCTTTGGACGGAGGGAGTTATATTTAATTTAAAATGTATTCCCTCGATTCCAAATTGATTATCCCATTAGGGATAACAATACTTGTCTAAATTTATATTCAATCTAATTTATTTAAAAAATGATACAAAGTTTTTAGAACAATATCAAATTCTCTACCAAACAAGAGATGACATAACTATGCTATTTTACTAAATGATTAATGAAAATAAATAAAGAAATAGAGAATTCTTTTAACCTGAATTGAGATGATTAATTTGGAAGAGAGGGAGTAGTGAACATATTAATTACCCTAAAAAGTACTACGTATAACTTAAGTATAATCACATGACTATATAATTAAGAAATGTTGGTCTGACTTTTAGGAGCCATGATTATGTTAGCATTTGGTGAATGGATGAAGATGTTTAGTTTTAGACAAACTTAGCTTATTAAGGAAGACAGCTAATGCTTTAGAAATTATATCAGGCTTTGCTTAATTAATGTGCAAAAGAACCAATTTGCTTTATATTCTTTTCATTGAGAAGTAGATAATGGCCCACACCTAATACACACACACTGTTATTAAAACATTCCAAAAGTTACTTAGGGCACTGGTAATGGACATCACGCCCGGGGTGTTATTGCTCCTTTTGACGCCAAAGGGGCAGCAAACACCGCCCCCTTGGGGCTTCATAAGGGCTTCATCCCTTGTGCTTCAAATATTTAACGGGCTTCAAACCTTACATTCTCTCTTTTAAAAAAAAACATACACAAACATAATTTTTTTTACTCTATATTTTTTTGTTTAATGTAATATTTTTTTTGTTTAATTTTTTTTAGTAATGTAATTTTTTTGTTTTTTTATATTTAACATACTATTTTTATTGACTGTATTTTTTATTTTATGAATTATGTCAGTTTGGAATATGTTACTACAACTCAAATTTGAATGAAGATATTTTTAGTCGCTCGAATAATTAGTAATTTCTTTGTAGTGTTGTTTTTTTATGGATGTAATATTTTTTTGATGAATGTAACTTTTTTTATGAATGTATTCTTTTATGAATGTAATATTTTTTTAATTAATGTAATTTTTAATGCACTAGTCTCCTTTTGATTAATTTAAATAATAAATTTATTAAAATTTATTAATTTAAAATTAAGAAGATGTATATTTAGAAATGTAAAAAATGAAGGTTTGAAGCCCCGGGGCTTCAAACCCATTTCCACTGAATCTGTGAGGTAAGTTAAAGCTGATGTGGCAGAGAGAGAAATTTTGAAGCCCTGGTTTGAAGCCTCGGGGCTTCACGAGTATTTCCAGTGCTCTTAGTGTGAAATTGTGAATGAAGGGTATAAAAAGCTAATTACTGTGCTTTATTGTAAATGCAGGTGACAAAAGTAGGGGTAAAATGGAGAAAAAGTGTGGTAAGCCTGCATAATCTTCTCTTAATTACCAAAGTGGGATTTGAAAAAAGGGCACTCATCAACTGTAAAAAAAGTGGTTGTGTTAGGATATTACTATGATGTTTTTTTTGGGGATTTTTTTGTCTGCATATGGCACATTTGGTGGACATGGCAACTTTGAAAAAGTCAAAGTGAATGGAATCTCTATTGTAATCCTTTGATATGATTAGGGGAATTGTTTTCTTTACTCAAGAAATAATATCTGTTTCCTCTGAATTTTTTTTCTTTAAGTGGAAGCAGATTTACTGTTTGTTTAGTGCCTCTTGTCTTGATCTCATTAAGCATGTTGCTACTTTATGATGTGATTTATTTCTTAATGCTCCATGGTATTAAGGTGTTCATTATAAAGGGTGTTAGCATGCTCCATATATTTTTATGCAATGTATTTCTTCCATCTTGGTTTAGATAAAAAATGGTGGTTTTACAAAAATAATTTTATTACATTTATCTTGCTAAAAAGTTTCAAAAGATTTTTTTAACTGTATTGACAAGCAATTTAGGCTCTGTTCTTTTACTCGTTGGTTCTAACATGTAACTTCTATTGAAAAAAAACTTTTAACATTTCCATACACTAAAATGTGATTTGCAACACTTAAGCTCGAGCCCCAACGGAGGCATCGATTTTTTATGCATCATTAGGTTGAAAAAAATATAAATAAATACTTATATTATACTCCGTAATGGAGTAAATAGTATTCGAAAAAACAAAAATAAGACTTATCATGTCAAATTGTGTTAATATTATTGTGAAAATGTTGTGAAACCTTAAGTTGTGGCAAGACACAATGTCAACACTCTTATTTAAAAGATAAAAATATAAATATCCTATTTTGGTATAATATACGTAATGTTTTGATCTTATTTATGTAAAATTCTTTTACTTCCGATTCTTACAAAAAAAATTAACTTCTTCCAATTTTATCAACTTTCTCCAAATTTTTCCTACTTGTCTCTAGTTTATTAGAACATCCAACTCTATTTTTCTTGACCAAAGAAAAGTATCTCTAAATTGATGATTAAAATTCATCAAATTTGTCCGAAAGAATCAAATTTGGTGGGACGAAGAGTATATTTTTTTGAGAGTATATTTAACTTTTCTAACACTTCTCTAGATGACAATACTTTAAATGGTTTTTTTTTTCAGAAATGCAAAGTACTACTAGTATATTATGATAATTAAGAATTGTTGCAACTTGAATAGGGATGGGTACTGAATTACACAAACCTTTTCGTCCCACATTGGGGAAATAATGGAATAGAGGATAATGGTAGGGTACTCTTGAACTAGCTAGCTAGCCTTTGTGCATGGTGGAATTAATCTTGATGCCTCCTGCCCTTTATAAGGGCAAAACCCCAAAGGGTTCTTGCAAAGTGTCCTTGATAGGGAAGAGCATGCATTGTGAATATTGTGCCATCATTTGATCCACCACCACCATTGCCACCATCGCTTCCACCACTGGAATAGCTATATATTTTCACACACATTTTTTTTGTTATCATATATATGCATCGTCTTCGTTCGAAATTAATTGTTCGCGCTTCTTAAAACATCAAATGAGTCATTTGAATGAATTTGTTGTCCATTTATGCTACCTAAATGATACTCCCTTCGTACTAGGTCTCACAAAAAACGGGTACTTTTCCAAGGGGCGAAGGGAGTATTGTAGATACAGAAATGATAGAATAACACCAAGTTTGACACCATGGATGAGAACAATGTGTGAATTTGTAAACAGACGATTATATCTTGTGTGTGTATAAATTTACAAACGGCTGTCATCCGTGGTGTCAAAATTGGTATTATTGTAGCATGACTCTTCAAGACATTCCGCCATACTTTGATGAATGAAAAGCGAATAATGATTTCCAGATGTATGAAAATTAAATTTGGACGGAAATATTATTAGAGAATCAAACTAAAAAAAAGAATGGCGAACCTCGAGGAGCCACACAAGGCTCTTGGCTACCAGGAAATGTAAGCTCCGTCTCTTGCTTGTCCCTCGTCACCGTCATCTGTTTTGTCTGCATCCATGTTGGGTATATATTAACTTAGTGTGTGTCTCTGTGTGTCTGCATACTCACTCAATTACATTAGTATGATGCCTTTTGAAAGTGCCAAAAAACAGATCTATAAGGACTTGGTCCAAAGCGGACAATATCACCCTAATGCAGGGTTAAGGTAAAAATGAAAGTCTCAACAAGGAGGTGGAAGTGCTAGAACAAACCTTGATAGTTGGTGTTGGCTTGAAGGCTATTCTCATGCTAATGATTTCTCCATTTGATATTCCACCCTGCAGCGCCCACATATACACACACTTGAATATATGTACAGCTATGCATGTCCATGTATCAAAGATCATCTCAAGTTATACTCCCTCCGCTAGAAAAAACAGTTCCACTTCCAAATTTTGTGCATCCCACAAAACACTTCTACCCCACTTAAAATGCCTAAAATACCTCAAAATAACTTCTACCCTCAATAAACGAAAAATAGGGTATATTTTAGACACTTCAGGTTGGGATAGAAGTGTTTTGTGGAATGCGCGAAAAAATGAAGGTGGAACTGTTTTTTTTCTAACGGAGGGAGTAATAATTTAATTAATGGTCATGCCTGTATTCCGCCTGATCTATTGGTTCGCGTTCGGATTCTGCCATTTGCGTCCACATAGAACTCGTCATTATGCTCACTACCAGTCATCATCGTTCCTGCCTCATGTTATAGATATTAAATCCTTTGGTTTAGGTGATAGAGTCTCATCATACCAAAAATATGATATTAGAGAAAGAATAGTGGGTTAATAAGATCTTAATTAGCTAGGTCGAACTAACTAACTGATTGAATTCAATCTTTTTTTCTCTTTTACCTGCAAATCCGCTGCCAAACTCAACTCCAGTACAGGCTGGTATTGACATGACAGCTTTTGCTAGCTCTGCTTCAAGTTTATCAAATACTGGAGAACCAAGCCCCTTCCATTCCATACATTCATATACTCAGAGTATAAAACACATTGATATTATAGAAGTGTGTATACTGAGCGTATATATATATAGTAAACATGTAGCTGAAATATATGAATATAAGTACCCTGGGGACATTCCTGACAATGCAGGTAACAACGCCTCCAGCAGAATTCCCTGCTTCTTGGACACCATTAATGGCAGCTATCATCTTTGCAGCATACTCAGGACTTGGGCACCTCACTACATTGCTCTCTATCTGTCCCACACAAAGTATATATCCAAATCTTGAAGATTGATTATTAGAACAAGAATTGATTAATCTCTTCTAGAGTATTTAACGTCTTCTGGTTCTTAGAGTCGGTTTGTTTCTTTTTCATATTTGAGACGGATGTCTCTTGGAAATAGCCTCTCCAGTATCAACTACCTAGTAAAGGTAAGGTCTCCGTACACCCATTCTCTCCAGACCCTACTTTTTGTTGGACATTCCTTAGTTTTTTGGTGTATCGTTTCATATCCGCTCCCTATTTGGATGTTCTTCTATAATAATTCTATCATACAAAACCTCGTCATGTTTTTTAACTATCCCGAAATTTTTCTTCTCAAATTTATGCATGTGATATTATGGCTTCGTTTGGCATTAGTTTTAGCATTTTGGAAATGCAATCCAACAGTAGCCTTTTAGCATTTGTATCTCCAAAGTTAAACTTTTTTTTTATCCAAAACGCTAATGCTAATCACAAACTTTGTTTCCAAACAAGTATTATGTGTACCTGAGAAAGTGTGAGGGCTTCATGATCAACCAAATCATCAGGAAGCCGTACCTTGTGAACTTGAGAAGTATAAGCAAGAATCTGCCCCAGGATCCAACCATACATATGTATATATATGCAATGTACAAACCACTTAACAACTAATTCAGATGAATTAAGAATAATCAGACAGATAAACTCAATATTAATTAAATTAAGGCATACAAACAAACAAACAAACAAGCATAGAATACCTCAGTTGCTGCAACTTTTTTAAGAATTTTCTTGGCAACAGCTCCAGCAGCTACCCTCCCTATAGTTTCTCTTGCTGAAGATCTCCCGCCACCCTATACATATACATATACTTTCTTAATTAAGAGGACATGTATACAATGTTAACTTAATTAGCCATTTTTAAGACATCCTCACCTCAACAGATCTCACTCCATATTTGAAATCGTAGGTCGCATCTGCATGTGAAGGTCTATACACGTTGCGTAATTCACAGTAGTCCTAATAAGAAACATGTATATTTTAGACTGCAGATCATCATGGCATGATGAAATCAAATAATATAGCTTACTTGTTTTCTGGGATTTTCGTTACGAATCTCAATCTTGATTGGAGTTCCCGTGGTCAAATCTGAAACAATGAAAAGAAGGGTGCATGACTGTAAATCGACATGTGTCAAAGAACCAACTCGACCAGAAGTCTTAATCTTTGGTTTTAGACTCGGGAAAGATTTAAACACTCTAAATAACTCAACCAAAAAGCTCAAGAAACAAATTTACCGTCAACAATGCCAGATGATATATGGCATATGTCTTGCTCTTGGCGAGGGGTGGTAACTTGATTTTGTCCTGGTTTCCTAAATGCAAAAATGCAATACACATAAACAATAAGTTAATGCTCATTTTTGTCTCTCTCTAAGTATACTCATGAGTCAATTTGGTCACGTGGTCAGTCAAAGTAGTCTTTGTATCAATGATGTATGAAACCAATTAAGTTAGAGTCTTTTCTCTTCATCTTATTTTTTCTATTTATTACTTTTTCTTATTTCAATCAGATCAAATCAGAAATGTTCAAATCAAATAAGATAAGTTTAGACTAGGTCAAATCAATTAGAACTTAATAAATTCAGATCAGAACCAATCAAACAAAGAGAGCAACCCTTAGTCCCTCCCTCTTCCATAATTAATGACAACAAGGTTGTGAAATGCTAAGTTGGCACGTTAATTGACCACCAGACTCCCAATTCAGCATTTCAATAACACTATTAGGATAAATTATGTTAGGGTGACTACCTTGATTCACATTTTTAGCTAGATTCAATTCTATACTTTGTCTTTAATAACAGAGGAGTTTCCATATTTAGTCACCTATTACCAAATATCACTTTCATGGTCCTTTTTATGGGTACATTTTCACGGATAGTTCTTTTTTCGAGCTTATGTCATGTTGGTGTTAAATTGAAGACTAAAAGTGTAATCTCACATCAACCATATGTCCAATGATGTGTTCTAATGTCGGCTGGACGGACAACACGACAATAATGACTATGACTGTGGACTAAGATTCTGACCACATGCGACATTTGTAGACTATGATTGCAGTAGACAGTGACTCCCGTTGACAAAAGACTGTCCTTGGAGAAAGGTACTCATAAAAGAGAATGACCATAGAGTTTACTCTTTTAGCTAAGGTAACTAATTTGACTCAACCCGATTTGCAGAAACCGACCAACCAACGAACCTTCGATTGAGGTCAAGCTGAATGTCGGCGGGAGAGAGGGGAAGACGAGGAGGGCATCCATCAATGACACACCCTATTCCAAATCCGTGCGATTCCCCAAATGTTGTCACCCTGAAATTGCTCCCATATGTGTTCCCTGTAGCCCTTATTACACCTGCCAACCAAAATCTCTCATTTTTTTTTCTCACTATTTTGAAATTTGTGAAAAAATTGTGCTGTTGAAATCTACAGTACATTGGAAAGTGAAGAAGTGCAAAAAATGATATTTTTAGATATCCAAAAATGGAAAATTTTAAAGTACATTTGAAGGGAGAAGGGAGTATGAATATTGTTTGGCGAATGAGGAAATAAATGAACAGCTGAGTAGATGAAACTAACCTAGACGAGATTTGGGAGGAGGAGCAGAGAGGATAGAAGAGGTTGTTGGGATGAAGATGGTGACAAGTGATGTTCCCATTTCCTCTTTCTTTTATTTCTTTCTACTCATTCAGTGAAGATTAATTAAGTCCTCTCAGTATATATATATATATATATATATATATATATATATATATATATATATATATATATATATATATATATAGTTTGGACTTTGGAGTCCGATGACAAGTGCTGTTCGTTTTTTTTTTCTTTCAAATTCTAAACTCTTTCTCAATGATTGATAGGGTTGTGGAGTAGGGGATACTATAAAACATTAAAACATGAGCTTTGTTTTAACACGTCAGTTATGTACTCCATCTATCACAATGAGTTTTTGTTTTTATTTTTCGTTTGTTTTAAAATACTGTCCTTTTTCATTTCTTGGCTTTTTTTTTAATAACAAAAGATATGCTCCAAAACAAAAATATACGGATTGTTCAGTTTTAAAAAAAAAAATCTTTAATCTATTTGAAATCAAAATGAATAATTTAATCCCCCCCCCCCTCCCTTGCCAAAAGTCACGAATTGACTTTGTTGATTTATGGAAATTTTTTAAGTAATTGAAAAGATTGGGAGAAAGAGTAAAAGATTAAAAATTTAGGGAATATGTAAAAATGTTTATAAAATTGGAGAAAATGTGTAAGAGTAATTAAGTAGAACAATGTACAAAATCGTGTTAGTCTTAAAATAAATTTTTTTGCAAGTAGGTATAAGAAGAAAAGGAACAAATTTATTTAAAACAAAATAAAAAAATTTACAAAACAATATACGAAAAGAACATTTTATTTTGCCAAATAGTAAATGAAAACATACAAAAAACTCTTCTGCAAATCACTAAATCCTAATCCTAGAGTTTGTTCATATATCCAAGTATAAAAGAGACATCATTTTCAAGAAGTGGAGGAGAAATCTTTAGATCAAGGCCTTGTTTGAACAAAACATTATCATATGGAATTAGCATTTTTAATACTTTTTTAATTGTACCGAACACTAAAGCCAATCATTGAAATGTCAAATAAACCCTAACTCTTTAGACACATCTTTATCGTTCATAATTATTTCCTTCATAGAAAATCACCGAGCGCATATTGTAAATGTACACCCTTGATATACATGAATTACACACCCCCTTAGCATGATACCACGAGAAAGGGAATGTGATTTTTAGCAAATTGGTTTCAAGATAACTTCGGCCATATTCTCTTCAACTTATTTTTATTACTTACAGTCAGAACATTACTTTTTCTTATTGGGATCAGACTAGACCAGATCAGAAATAGTTTTATATATAATCACATTTAAATCACATCAAACACGATCAAAACTTATTCTAATCAGATCAGAACCATTCACATCAGGTGAAGAGAACATAATCTCCCTTGTATTCATACTACTCCATTCACTTCTAATTGATTATATTAGATCATAGTATTATATATATTCCTGGATCTCGGTGAATTAAAATCCATCAAATTTCTTGACATTATTTTATTAAATTCTCAAAATAAAAAAAAGTGACATTTCAAAAAGAAACTACTAATAAGGGAGGTTTCCAAACAAGTTTATTTTATTTTATTTTGAGACAATCTTTTTATGGTGATGTATTATAATCATAGTAAACTCTCTTGCTATGCATCCTTTATGCACCCACTCTCAACAACAGCTTCTCTGGGTGCTCTAGTTTTCAAAACCATCTCTTCATACTCGGCTTCGGGGTCCGAGAGGGCGGTTATGGCCCCACCTGCTCCAATTGAGGCTTCGCCGTCGTGCAACACAACCGTTCTGATAACAATGTTGAGATCAAAAGTTTGGTTGTATGAGAAGAAGCCAATGCAACCTGAGTAAATGCCCCTGGAACAACTCTCAAGGGAGTCCAGAATCTCCATTGATCTCAGCTTTGGTGCCCCAGTCATAGACCCTCCAGGGAATGCAGCCTTGACACAATCAATTGGGGTGACACCCGGACGCTTCTTCCCCCTTATTGTGCTCACCATTGTGTGGACCGTCGCGTACGATTCGATCTCCATGAGGCGGGGGACGTGCACAGTGCCAGCCTCGCATACACGCCCAAGGTCGTTCCTCAAGAGATCCACAATCATCAAGTTTTCGGCCTGATCCTTTTCGCTGCAAACGATAAAAAATAGAAAACAAAACAATAGGGAGAAAGTTTTGGCAGATGATTTTATGTTGCTTAAAAGGAAACAAGACTAAAATGTTGGGTAGCATTTGGTGCGGAAGAAATTCAATTTCAAGGGAAATGATTATCAATCGAAAGGGTTTTCATAAAGATAATACTAAGATTTTCAAAAAACTTGCTAGCTAGTGTTTGGTAAATTTCCTGAATATAATCGTCCAAAAGAGTTTATGTTAATGTCACAAAAGAGTACTGCAAAACATATCATCTCAAGGAGGTAGAAAATTAATTTCTCAAGTCTGAAAAGATTTCTCTCATCTGAAAATACTTTTTAAAAGAAATCCCTCCCTTGCCTGCGAAACACAAAAAAAATACTCCTGTCCTAGAATTAACTTCACACTTTCCTTCTTAGTCGTCCTAAAATAAACTTCACATTTTTCCCTTTTCTTTCGAGTAAATATGTGGCTAAAAATTCTTCTATGCAAATTCCAACCAGACACTTCATTTTCAACAGTTTTCTTAAAATTCGTGGAGTCAAACAGTGAACTCAGAAAATCTTCTATGCAAACCCTTATATCTACCATTTTTAACTTATATTTCATTCACTGCTTTAATTTTGTTTAACATAAAACCTTTACCTGTATTTTAACTGTAGCTTGAGCAATTCATCTTCCTCTGGGGTTGAACCACGAGCTATGGTCCCTTTGATGGGCTTTGCTTCCAAAACCGCATTTCTATCCAACCGCATGAACCTCTCAGGGGAAGCAGAACATATTATTAAATTGTCACTTGAAAAATTAAGCCATGCACCATATGGTGCTGGGTTTTTTTCTCTTAGACTAACATAGAGACCTAGGGGATCCATTTTCCCTATTCTCATTCTCATCTGAGTTGTGAGACATAGCTCGTAACTTTCTCCATCCCTGATAAAGCCTTGACACTTCTCAATATCTTTGATGTACTGGTCTCTAGACTTATCGGCACGAAAAAGAGTATTTACCGGATATATTTCAGTAGTTCGAGATGTGTTTGGTGTAGATGGCTTAGAGTCAGAAGATTTCAACTGGAGAAGTCTTTGCTCGATGTCATCCAACCAAGAAGACGCTTTTGTGTATCTATCACGCAGCGACACAATGTAGACACTATCATGGAGGTGATCAATAACAACAAGATTATCTGAGAAGAAAAAACAAGCATCTGGGGTCCTTGATTTATGACGATTAGTTGTCCTGCCACATTCAGCTTTAAGATCATACCTGCATTATGTTTTACTGAATGTCAGCAACTAAGAAGAATATGCAATGAAGCCTAACCCCTTGTTGAGTTGTAGGGTTTTGGAAGGAAGTGGAGGAATGTTGTGTGTTTGAATGGGGAGATAGGAGGGAAGCGGAGGAAAATGTAGGAGGCCTATAGACCCCTCCAAACTCATCATATCTCATTCCCCGAGTATTTTGGACTAAGATCTTTTCTAATTTTCTTTCTTACCTTTTTAATCAGAATTGTTCTGCATTAATATTTTTATTCTTATTTACATCGATTATTTATTGGTATACAAATAGATTACTACTAGTACTACGTACATTTTAAATTACAAATATTAATTTAAAAATATTTGTACATATTATCTTAAAATAAAAATTATTCAACATTATTCCATTGAACAAAACATAACATTTTTAATTCTTCCCCTTTCTTGCCCTCTTCTCCACATTTCTCCTCTCCTCCCCGCCCTTCTTTTGAACCGACCTAAGGCTGATGGTTAAACATAATATGGCCATTAACAACAGAAATAACAGACCTAGTGAAGTCCCAGAAGTGGGGTCTAGGGAGGGTAAGTGTATATAACCCTTGTACGTCCCTACGCAAGGTAGAGAGACTGTTTCTAAAAGACCCGAACACTTGCACATATAGCGGCCAGTTTTCTATTTTTTAATCTGAAGCTTGCATGTGTGTGTGTTTAAAACCATGACAATCCATTGTTCTCTAATGCATGACTAACTTTAGACATTACCCAATATACCCAACATAGCCGCCATAGAAGTCAAATGGCAATCCTTCATAATCCTTTTCATCATAGCAAAATGACCCAAGCTCCTGATGCATGATAAACCAGTCCGTCAAAACCAGTAATTCATTATTATCATGGGTAGAAAATTATGTTGGGGCATGTTTATCATATTTATTTGCGACTGTCATATAGATCAGGAAAGATTTGACTCTTTCACATGTGGTACCTTATTCAAATAATCCATAAATCCATCCTCCAGATATGAAGTTTGAACATTACCACTGGCATCCTGAACTGTTAAGTAGCCGCCTCTTTTGTATGCTTCATCTCTGAAAATGAGAAGGCACAAATTAAACCATTGCATAATTCAATACATTAAAAAAATAGGTTTTTGTTGTAAGAGTAATTAAGCAAAAGTCTTGACTAAAGCTTACCGTTCATTTGACAACTTAAATGAAACATGCTTCCACAGAGAGCCACCGTTTTGGCCCATGAATGAAAACCTTGCTCTTGCCTAGATTTCACCCATCAGTTAGTATCATGAAACTAGAAAATTGAGTAGGAATGCAAATGGTGATGAAACAGGAAATCCATAAACTAAATGGTGTAGCAAGCTACAAATTGTGCATTGTCCTTAGGAAACAAGTCAACTGGTTAGGCGTAGGATATCTGCTACCCCAAATACTCCACTCGTCCCTAAATAACATTACTAATTTCTGTGTCCCATCCCAAATAAAGTTAACTTTCTTGATTTAATAAGCACATAAGTGATAAGTCGTCCATTCACTTTACTTTCTTCATTTAATATTCCCATATACGGCCTCCACGGTTATTACTACCAACCACTAATCAAAGGGAAAATTAGGGAGTCAAATTTGAACTAAGTGTTTTATTTATTAAAAAAACCATGTCAAGTTAAAC